GTCAGTTGAATATTTTGATAATATTTCATTATGATATTTTATATTTGTTGTGGAATTGTTGGTCACATGTGAAAGTGTAATCTGTCTGCTAACACCCAGAATGTGTTTTGAAACATCTTGAATGCTGTTAAAGATAAAGTTGAAATTATATTACACAGTCCAAGCTAAAAAAAGCAAATTTTGTTAAAAAAAGAGAAAAGTTGGGAGGTTGTATCAAAGCATAGCTCAGTAGCTTAGTACATATAAGATACATAAATGTAGTTTCATTTGTCTGAGTACAAGGTTTTATTTTTTCAATTTTGCACCCTGTTTTGTCCCACTTCTCAAGAATTACTTAACAGTGGATAGCCAATCACTTCTCTTCAGTCACGTCAGCCTGTCTGTCTCTATCAGCCTCTCTTTGCTTTCTGTTTCCGTGCCTGGAGAACATTTTCCATTGATCAATCTCAATCCTTTTTTTTTTGGACTCGTGCGAGATAAAGGGCATTTTTAATGTAGGCTATTCATATTTTTGACACACATTTTATACTCTGCTGCTGTACGTGTCTGTCATATCCACTTTAGAGTTTAGATGTAAGCCTATTGCAGGCTACTTGCTGTGATACTGCGATCCAAGCATACTGCTGATGACGTAACAGGGCAACATTACTTCACCAAAGCATTCAGATTACTGTTACTGAAAGTTCAGTGGCATGAAAAGATGAAGACTGAAAAGATGCAGAGAGGGAGAGGAGAGGATGCAGCTCCCACTGAAGCTTTTCGTGCGTGCTGGTGAGCGAGCGTGGAGCAGAGCGCGCGGAGAGCGCCCACGCAACACTTTCACGTGCTGCAAAGCTTTTTCAGTGCGACGCATCATCAATCAGGAGCCGCTTTATCTTCTGCTTTAATATGAACTGAAAAATACAAAACAAAACAGTTTTATATAAATTAAATAGAAACTGAAAAGACATCCCACTCAGATGGACTATAATGTGATGAAAATTTGTACACGAGCCGGTGAGTGTCGTTTTTGTTCTTCAAACTTCAGATTTTACTTCCAGTGTCAGTGCTGTTTATACAGTATATTATTTAAGAAAACGGATTGTACATATACTGTAGTTGTGAATGACTGCACTGTAAAAGATAAGTGTCATTTTAACTGTAACATTTTGTAAAAACGCTATGGAAAAAGCTGTTAATAGGTTAACAGTAAGTTCCCGTACTATATACAGGGAAAAACTGTAAAATATCTAACCAGACATTTCATGTAATTTTACAGTAAAATGCTGTTAATTTGACAGTTTTTAGAAGTAAAAATAACAAATCAATGTATAATTTACAGTCAAACACTGTCAACTGATATTCCCAGAATTCCCTCCACATTTGAAAGTATTTTGTTTAAATAATCATGTTTTTTAAATAGTTTTTGTTATTAGTTATGTATATTTGGGCTTTATGTTACATCTTCTGTTGTTTAATGAAAGTTGAATGCATTATTTAAGTATCATGTGTGTTACCGTGATGGTGTTTTGTGTTTGCATGCACCTTCTATATATTAGTATATACTTCTGCTTGTGGCGAAGCTACTTGTGATGAGCTTTGATTCTTCATGTGGCTTTCTCTTTTACCACCTGCATTATTATGGTGGTTGTCAGTATGTTAAAGGTACAAAACAGATTTTAATAGCAGTGTGCATTGTTGAATTTACTGGTTTACATTCAAATTGTCTTGTTCGTAAATTACAGTTTTATACTGTAAAATTTACCGTTTTTGACCGTAAATGTGTTTTTCTGTATTTTTTACAAAATTATTCTGGCAACCACAGCTGCCAAAATTATTTTGTAAAAACTAAAGATTTTTCTTTACAATGTAGTTCATTACTATAGCCTACCAAATTAAACCATATAGCCTATTTGTCAGGTAATGGTTTAGAAAACACGAAACAACAAAACATTTCAAAGTGGATCTGCTCAACATTTAGGTTAATTGTTTTTAGTATGCTTTTGAGGTCTTTGTTACAACACAAAAATATGAGTAATAAAACTAGTTAACACTCGAGTCTCAAGGTGAAAGGCATTTCAATCAGGCCTCATTCACTCATTATCAGCAAAACACTGATAACTTTATAGACATAATAACATTCATTAATCATTACGTAATTAAAAATATTGTCGAAAATATGTGATATTTAGTCGCATGTGTTTTTATGAATACACTATTTACAAAATGAATAGATAATAGAGATCAGAATGTATTCAAATATAAATGAATATAATATGAAATATAAAAATACGAAAATCTGTGAAAACTTTCATGACATTTCTAACTATTTTTAGTAAACTATTAAACAACTAGTGCTATATTATAATGTTTGTTAATGTCATTAACACACAAAGTTATAAAAATGGTTTCTCAAGGCTTATACTGTAGATTTAATAGCTAATTTTTATTAAATAAATTCTATAGCTTACATATATTTATAACTACATGAAGAAGTCTAGATTTGTAGGTGATATACTGTAGTCTTTGTCAGCTATCAAAATTAATCTTATAGTCAAATTTTTAGCATAGCAGATGTACCTTTAACCTTTCATTAAACTACACAGAAAGACAATTGCACACTAAATTAGGCTTTTTTTGTTTTAAGATCAATATAACTGTCCTCTTTTAGTGCTACTGCAAAGAGGATTTTTGTTTAATTTCTCTCTTCCACATCTGGCGCTGTTTACAGTATTATTAGTTTGTAGTTGAGTGAGATTAACCTCAAGGTCATTTGTTCTAAGTATCAGTGCTTTCTTTATTTGACTCACAGAGAGAGAGTAAAAGCGTTGATTTCTGAAGAAATTATTTTATAGCAATATCCCGATCACTTTCATTAGGAGAATTTGTGCTTGACTTTATGTGGTGATGTGAAAATGAACACTATTTCAGACTAAAGGATTGGTTCTTTATCTCCCATCCTCCTCCTCCACGTGATAGAGAGAATATGAAGGCGATAGCGTGAGAGAGTGTTATGCTTTTTCCCATTTAATCAATCCATTATTAGTTTGCAGTGTATAGTTATGTATTAATTTGACTTTTGATGCATCACATGAAAATGAGCCTTTGATACGTGTCTGACAAATTACATTTTTTAATTTCTTTTCGTGTGTGCAGAGGATGAGCAGAAGAAACGCTGCAAGGCAAAAATAACAATGAGATGAAACGATTTATGCATTATTTCAGTCCAACAATTAATCTTCAAGAATGCGAGAGGCAGAGCTGTAGGAGGTACAGAGAAAATTGAGTCTGAGATGGTTGAGATGATGAACATTGGAAAAGAGCTATTTCTATTCAAAAAGGCTCGCATGTAAGACATGTGGAATATAATCAGCATTAATCAGAAATCTATAGACTATGCTTCAACAGTCTTGGAATTTTACTCCGTCTAGACAATCTGTCAGTCTTTAGTGGGGATTTTTCATTGAAACATTTCTCAGGTGACTTTATTTAGACAGTAGGTGGAAGTAAGAAAGTAAGTCTTTATCATGATGAGTCATGAGTCATTGAATCATTAATTCAACCAATTTGTTCAATAACGCTGATTTATTCAGGAAGAAAGCACCATTGCTCAGAAATGTGAACTGTATTACTAACTATTTTCGTAAATAGACAAAGTAACTCGCTTGTTTATTGAACTGTTTACATTGAAGTTTTTTTGAAGAAATGTTGTCCTCTCATACTATATTGAGATTTTAAGGAATTAGCCTGTTCCCACCAACAACGAAAACTATAAAAAATAACTGTATTGACCTTAACTATATTAGTGTCTACACCAACAGATGATTACTGTATTACAACACTGTAATTACATCGCCTGTCACTTTTAGATGCTCAAATTGGTTAATTTCTGATTGGATGTCAGTTATGTTTTTGTTCATCAGCTGGAAAATATTGTTCTGAAAGTGAGTCCAACAATTTATTCCTCTGTCGTTTTTGTGATCATACAATAAAGTTTTAATAACCATTCTAATTCAATGAGAATAGGGAGGTCCGAACCACAGCTATAGTGATAACGACACAGAGTGATCGTTGGAATCACATTGAGCTGATGAACGATAAAAACAGCGACAGCCAATCAGAATTTAGAGCATTTAAAGTGACGTAACTTTATAATATTATAATATGTTGGTGTGGGCACTAATATAATTTTTGTTTTAGCAATCTTTATAGGTATCGTTTTTGGTTTGAACAGGACTTTAGCCAAGATAGTTCATTGTAAGTACTTCCAAATATCTGTTTTACTGCAGGAGGGGATTTAAATATTGTTGGCAACCTGTCCTAAATGATTTGGACCTTATGATACGGACCTTCTCGGACATGCACAATAAAGGTCCGCAGTGTGTCCAGTGTGTCATTGAATGATTCAGAGCGGTGCTCATGAGTACCATTTGAGCAACAGGGCCTTTGACAATCTGTGTTTCTTTCCATGTCAACCTGTGATCTTGATCTGTTGTTCGAAGTACAATGTAATTCCCTCACCAACTAAACATGCACTAGCTTGCTATTATCATAATGAATGTGTGATAAACATACTCATCATGCACACTATTAGTTCTATGATAAGATAGTTGTCATGAGTTACAAGTAGCTGTGACACCATGCAGTAGTTCAGAGGCAGTTCCTCATTGAATTCATAACCCATAAAGTCAATGCAGTGTCCTATAGAAATAAGGTTGCAAAGGCCAAGAAATAGGGTAGTAAGTTCTGTCAGCGCTGGCTTGTCCATACTGAAGCAACAGGCAATTTTAAACAAATACAGCACTCTCACGTATATCTAAGGTAACACAACACTTTATAAGCTCCAGGGGTTGAAGTGGTGCTGTCTCAGCAGCAACAGACCACAGTGTGGAAACCAGGGAGACAGAGAAGTGAACGAGGAGCACAATATTATGTGCAGGAGAGAGTTTAGCAGAATGAGGCATGTGCTATGTCACACTCTGGAGAAAGACAGGCATAAAGAATGATGTATTTGAAAATGTATTCATTAAGGAATATTTTGGGTTTAATTCGAGTTTAGCTCAATTGATAGAAAAACAACAACAACAATAAAACAAACAGAAATGTAGATTAAGATTTAAAAAGTAAATGTGGCCAATATTTGGAGATTTTAAAAACAGAAATCTGTGTATGAGCTATAAAAAAATATTTGTACAGTAATTTTTGGGTTTTCATGGTGACAAGTTGTAAAATTAGATATATCTTTAATCAGAGAATTGTCGAAAAAAGTGTTTTAGTAACACTTTACTTAAAGCCTTTATGTTTAATGCATTATAAAGGGTTATTAAAGGGTATAATGCATTATACTTATTTATAATGTGCATTGTAATACATTATAGCTTGCCGTAAATTATTATAACTGAATTTAAAATGAATAGTGTAACAATGAATTGATAAGTGATATAATGTATTAGCTGTGGTTACAATTATTCATGAGATGTATAGAGCTAATAATTTCATAAAAGCATTAACGTTAATTATTCTGTTGAAACCTGTGTAGTATTTGAGCTGTAAAACAGCTTAAATTAGTCGTTTTTGTGTTGTCATATGACAAAGTTGTAAAATTGGATATAAATTTATACAGAAAAGGTTAGAAAGCATTTTTTTTTAAATACAGAAATGGAGAATGTATAAATTTATAAAAGCAGTAACATTAATTCTGTTCAAACTTGTGTATTATTTGAGCTGTAAAGTAGTTTAAATTACAGTAGTTTTTGTGTTGTTATGGCGGCAAAGTTGTAAAATCGGATACAACTTCACAAAAGGTTAGTAAGCATTTATTTAACAGAATAAAATCATGTTAACAATTATAACTGAATTTAAAATGAATAGTGTAACAATGAATTGATAAGTGATATAATGTATTAGCTGTGGTTACAATTATTCATGAGATGTATAGAGCTAATAATTTCATAAAAGCATTAACGTTAATTATTCTGTTGAAACTTGTGTAGTATTTGAGCTGTAAAACAGCTTAA